CAAAGATATCTCTTCTGCCTGGTTTGAAGGCAAGCAGATATTTCTGCATTTTAATTATTTTATATCATATATGCTGCAATAATTAGGCATGATGGAGTGAGTTAATGTATCAGCACTTTTGACTACTCTCATTTTTTTTCTGTGTTTACGTCAGACCTGTAACATTCAAATACACCTTCTCTTTTTATTATTTAGTATACATGTTTGTATACGGGTACCTGTACCTCATCATCCAGCAGATAAAACTGTCTTCTATGTGCTTTTATCAAAACCTTCTTTTGTTTACTAAAAAAGACAGTTTTATGTTCTTTGCCATATGATTCTACAAAAAGGTGATATTAAAAAGCAGATTTTGTAGAATGAGAAATGGTTACAGTTGTTCTGCTGGTAGGTTTATTCTAAAAATTGTAAATATTCCATCTATGCTTTATTATCATCCCTTCAGAGTAGAGAGAGGCTTTAGACTACCGGAAATCAGTGCATTCTGTTGTAAAATACTCAGGATTCATCACTGCCTGGGGATTTTCATACCTCTCTTCTTCCAGTCTAGGTGGTTGAGAGCAATCTCATTAAAAAAAGAAAAAAAAAAAAAAGATTTTATAAGAGATGTTAGAAGTGGAACATGGAGTTATGGGGTTATATAGAATAATCATCCAGTCTAAGCAACTCTTTCTGTGGCATGAAAAATTACTGAATTGTAATTATCCCAAATGTACGAAACTACTGTCCACTTTTTTAAGTTCAAGTGGCTGAGTAGTAAGAAATATGACTTAGGTAATTCTTTCATGTTTAAGTTGCAGAAGACATAGCTTATGAGTAATATGTTTAAGTAGGGCTCTTCCTTTTCTCCAGAGCCAGTGCAACTATAATTACATTCACTTTGCCACAGGGTCTGTTTTCAGTGTTTACCATATATGTAATGGCTTCTGCAGACTAATGCTAACAATGCTGGTTAATTACCAAAAATATGAAGGTTTTCACAGCTATATACTTCAAACATTTCATTTTCTGTAGTATAATTGTGTTATTGACAGTGTTGGTCTTGCACACAACTGAATGTACACTTGTTTACCATTTAAAAAAAAAAGTTAAAATTTAAGTATGCCTATCATTCCAGTCAACCAAAGCTGTGGCATAAGTTTTTTTTATGTGCTCCTGAATAAAAAAACAAGGTCACTGGCAACTTCTCTCCATTGTGGTTTTTTTTTAAAGTGCTGTGAAATATAGTGGGTAGTTGATGCAGTAGTCTCAGTGGAAAACAATTTGCAGATAAGCCATTAATTTACAAATAAGCCAAAATTTCTCTTGGTGGTAAAGGACGTGACTCAGAAATGACAATATCATTTTATGATGAAATCAATCCTTAAATAGCTAAACAGTAGTCCAACATTCTGCAGGATGTCTTCATGTTCCAGAATGGTAACATCAAACACAGGACCACAGGGAGGGAGGGCTCTTCTACTTCGTAGTGGTGCACTTAAAATAGGGCAGAACATGGACTTAGCAGATTTCAATGTGTTTTTAGACCAGTTCCTTTATGTAGTTGCACTGTCTCACATTAAACTTTTTGAGCTCTACATCCTATTCCAGCCAGATTTGACAGTGGTCAAAGAATATGCTTACAGAAAACCAATGGTTGAATATGCTTGTAACTCCCAAAATACTGCCACTGCAATATAGTTTAAGTAATCATTTAGCATTTCTTTAAGAAGCAGCATTACCAAATAGACCAAACCACAAAAATGTTTGTGAAAGTTCCTAAAATAACTTTTAATTCTTGTTTTATGTTTCTTTATTATAATAAAGACATAAATTTCAGTTATGTAATTATCCAGCCAAGTAAAATTTTTAAGGAAAAGCAGATGTTCTTTCAAAGTTCAGATGTGTAAAAATCCATATAAACAAGGTTAGGCAGGTGTGCATACAAAAAATAATTATCATACATATCCTTGTATAATGATATATCAAAAATTATGATCATACACTGAACAATAGCATCAAAACCAAAGTTCAAAGGAAGATTGCAGAAGAGATGTAACAAAGATTTCTAATAGCCATTTCAGTGCCATAGACAAGTGGCAGAATGTAGGGATTTAACACTGTTTTCTGTCATCCAGCACAGAGGGAAGCATAATATTCCTTTGTTTTTCTTGTATTTTTTCTTTATCAATTTACAGCAATTACATTGTTGACAGACCCACAAGTAATTTGCTAAAACAAAAAATGCAAAAACTTTTTCAAAAAGCCAATTCTGCAAAAAACAGTGAAAGAAAAAACATGTACTTTCTAGTAGTTGTTCATGTTTTCTTTTATTTTTATTTTTAAATAATGATTTTAATTTTACTTGGTTTTATGAAGAGGACAAATTTTACTGAATGTTTTCAAATATTGATTTCTTGACTCCTTCACTTAGCCCTTAAAAACAAACATCTTGTGCTCTGAAATACAGAAAGTGGTGTAATAACAAAGCAGTCTAGAGTGCATTACTGTGAAAAACAGATGTTGAATAAAAAAATAAAACAAATATTTTATCTATAAATAAAGGAATTTGTAAGTGTGTGAATGCCATCAAATGTGGGCCTAGGAGGAGGAGCATGCAATGAATACAGAGAACATCCATATCATAAAAGAGGTAAAAGACCTTTCAAGAAACTTAAATTCTGTTTTAATACAAAACCAGTTCTAAAGTGTACTTACTTAGAAAACATAAAAATAGGCTGAATTAAAAAGTTGTTTGTCACTATGCCACGCATGGTTATGGATTTCCCGCAAAATTCAGATTTTCAAAATAATGGCTACAATTCTTCATAAGGGTAAGTGAATATTTAATAAAAAATGTTTGTCTCATTAGTCTTTGGGTAATAAATAAGGAAGAACCTGCAGAGAATAATAGAAATTGAGCCCTTTTTCTATGTGTTTTACCTTTAATATTATGTTTTCCATATGGCGTTGTAATGTGTGCTGGTTTAAAGGCAAACCAGGAGGGGAAATGAACTCAACTCAAAAGAGAGACCACAAGTCAGAATAACAATTTAATAAAATAATACAATAAGTACGATTATACAGACAAACAATTGGTTTTAATCCACAAAGCCCAAATATATAACCCAGCACCCTGGGGCATGAACAGAGTGGTGCTCTTTGGGCCCCCTGAGTCCAAAGGAAAAGGAGAGGGGAAAACCTGTTGGTGAGAGTGCTGTTGCAGTCTGGTCCAGAGTGATGGTTGCAGTCTGGTTGAAAAGTGGTGGTTGCAGTCCAGTCGAGAGTGGTGGTCTGCAGTCTGGTTGAGAGCGGTGGTCTGCAGTCTTCCTCTGGATCCCACAAGTGGTTAAAAAGGTCCCAACACTCCAAGATTATATATCCTCCAGTTCAGGCAGGAATGCTCAGTACCTCCCTCAGGGTGGAGGGTTCCTTAATGGGTGTGAGGACAAGAGCAACTCCCATCTCACAGGCCTCTTAGCACCTAGTTTATAGCCTGAGGAGTCAGGCTCTATGTGCAGATGGTGTAAATGGTTCATTGATAACAGTTTTTGGGAAATGGCATGGAAGGCTATAGAATACACAGTTTTGGGTTACACCCATCCAGTGATGAACTGGTCTCAACTGTCCTAACTAGGACATAATGTTATTCCAATTGACTGTCATTGATCTGAGAAGCTAGAGCACAGCCACTGTGAGATGTAGGTTACTTTGTGTTCTGGCCAGGGTGACCATGCAGAGAAAATGGTCTGTAATGGTCTGTTTTATTGTGCCACGGTTGCAGTGGCACTAAAAAGTGTTAAGATCTTAGGTGGGAAAATCCTGGTTGCATGGAAAATGCAGAACTTTGAAAATTATTTAGGAATTTAGGGATTTAGTAAGCTGTAGGTTTTATTTTCAAATATTTGGTGTGGAATGTGAAAACTGTCCTTAGGAGAAGTTGTCAGGATCTGCTTTTCTTTTGATATCTAGAAATTTAAGAATTTTACATCAGGTTAATTCTGTCAGTATGATTAATGTTATTAAATATTACAGCTAATTAAATAATAATATATCTGATTGAGGCAGGGGGAGGATGCACAGGACTGCTAGTTTGCAAAGCATTCTTTCTTTTAAATGCAGCCAGAACATACTATGACCACCCCCAAGCATTTGTTGCCTCCTGAAGTCAATGACCACTACTGCCTGCCCTCTCCTTGGAACTTCATCTCTGAACCTAACTGACAACTCATGGACAGCAAGAGGGGGGAAGTTGTTGGGAGGAAGTTCTTCGGGGGGAAAGTTGGGATATACTGATTCATAAGAGTTTATAGCCTCATTTATACCACAGAACAACATAGGTGGGATTTCTGGCTCAGGCTGGTACTGCAGATGTCAACATGAACCAAAGGAGTTTATGTACTGTAAGCAACACAGAGCATCATAATGCCTCTGAATTACACTCCAGCTTCATTTTCAGAGAATATTCTGAGTTGGAAAGGATCCACAAGGATCATCAAGTGCAACTCATAAGTGAATGGCCTGTACATGGATCAAACCCATAACTTTGGCATTATTAGCACCGTGCTCCAACCAATTTAGCTAATCTCTGTGTGGGTTCTTACACTGCTGCTTGACCAGATATATTCTCCATATTCTGTACTGAATTTACTAATTTAGTTCTTAGAACAGTTTTGTGAACTCACAAACTCAGTGACTCTTAAGGGCTTGCAGAGCCTTTAATTAAAATTCTGTACAAAGACCTTGTTCTTCATGTACTCCATTGCTTGTCCTAGGTGAGAATTTCCAACAAACACAAATCCCAGGAGCATCTGGGTGCACAATGATTGGCTAGTCTGGGAGCATAGGGAATGCCAACACCCTTCTCTGCAATTGAAGACCAAATGACCTGCAACCCTCTTGACAGGACCACTGGGATCAGAGGGAGGACAGAGCATGGCCTCTGCATGGGCAACACCCAGTTACTCATATTACCTAGTCACACATAAACCGTGTCCAAACTTTGTGTGCATGAGATACCACAGAGGTTATCGGTGGAGACGGGCGGTATTTCAGGGAGGAGCGAGTCAGCAAGAGATGGCTACTCGAGAGATGGTTACTCAATCCATCCTCACAGTCGTGTACGAAGAGAAATGGCATGCGACACTAAAGCTTGCTAGGGAGTATCAGCACAGGTGGGATGGGAGCAGGAGCCGGCTGCGGCCGGGGAGGGCGGGGAAGGGGGGGCGGTGCGCGGCGGCGGCTCCGCGGCGTGTCCCGGCCGCTCCGCCCTCAGCCCGCGCCGGCGGCCCGGGGAAGTGGGTCTCTGCTCGCCGCCCCGGCCGCTGCTCCGCCCGCGGCCCCGCCGCCCCGCGCCCGCGCCCCGGCGCAGGTAGACCGGGCGGGGAGGGGATGGAGCCCCGGGCCCTGCCCGCGGGCTCCTGGAGCAGGGTCGGCGACTGGGCCCGGGCCCAGGGAGGTGCCGCAGGGCTGGCGCGGTGCGGGTGGGCCCGCCGGGGAGCCGCGGGGATGCCGTCCCGCGATCGGGGGAGCCGCTCGGCACGGCCTGGGCTCCAGCGGGCGGCGGCCCTGGCGCCTCTGTGCCCTCAAGAGCCGCGGCGGGGCCGCCCGGCGGGCGGGGCCGGGGCAGAGCGGGGATCGCGGCCCCGGGCGCGGCGGGGCTGGCCTGCAGGAGGAGGCAGGGCAGGTCTGGGAGGACACCGGGGCGCTGGTCCCGGCCGCCGTGTGTGTGCGGGGAGTGCCGTGTGTGCAGGGCCTGGAGCCTGCGGGGAGGCCTCTCCAGGGCGCTTTCTCTGCCAGCCAGGAGTAGCGGTGTGAGCGGTGGGAAAGCCGCAGAGTTCACCTGTTAGCACCTGTATCCAGTGTTAGTATATATATGTATTTATATATATGTTTTTAGTATACATAAAATACATAAAATACATAAAATACATAAAATACATAAAATACATAAAAATACATATACATATGTATTTATATATATGTTTTTAGTATACATAACCATACATCTCTTCAATTGCAACTTATCGCCACGGGCAGTCCCCATGCTCAGGCAAGTGATAAACTTGAATATGACCTCACTAGTAACAAAATGCACTAGTGCCCAGCTTTCTGTGTGTAACTGTAATAAGTCTTGCTTAGTGAAGAGTAAAGAGAGGCTGGGAGTTGTGTTTAAATGTTCACTGTGCTGCCTGTGATGCTCGCTGACTGCCCTTGTGCGCTCTCAGGTGCATTGAAGAGTTGCTCTACAGAGTATGGAACTTGCTCAGCTGCTTTTGGTTCGTTGTAGGCATGTTTTGCCAATACTGTCTCTGCATATTAAGATATTGGGGGAGTGTCTCTGTACAGTTGAGGTGCTGTTTTGAATGGTCTACAGCCGGTCTTAATTGTTTATATATGTTATTTATATGCTATTTTACATAGGGGTTTATCTGGCACCAGTGTGTGTATGTAGCTATTATAAGGAAAATAGGAAATTATGTACGTTAGCAGATGTTTCCCATGAACATGTCTTTGTCAGGGTGTTCTCCAGAGTGGGCCAGTGTGTCATGCACACCCATACATATGTGCTGGCATAGCTGCCTGCAGAAATGAATCGATGGCAGAAAGCTGCTCCTCCCACCACCGCCCTCCTGCTGTTGGTGTATTTTGAACCATATTCTGTGTGACGTGGTGTGCTTGCCTAATTTTATTTTTTTTTCCCCCTTGAGGGAGAGCCTTTTTTAGAATAATGAAGATGGAGGAGGGCAGTTCTTGTAGTGGCTGTGAAGCAGAGAGAAATGAGGCAGTGGCAGTGCAATCACTGAAATTAAGTTCTTGTATAACAGCACTGACGTTATAGCATGGCTTTCTCCATAATCTCTTCCTTGACTAGCCTTATGCTGCTGGTCTGACCACCAGGCATGCATTATCACATGCAAATGCAGTGTGTTATGGCAAAGTCAGATGAACTCAGTGTTCTGGGACAAAGATTTCTGTTCACACTAGTTGTAAGTTTAATAGAAATTTACTGTACCTTCATGTGCTGTTGGACTTTTAATAATTATTATTCCATACTTGCATGACTTAAATATTTACTCTTAGGTAGCATTTCGATAGGGAAGGAGCATTTGAGAAGTAGGCAGACAACTTTAAAGCCTTTGTATATGTAACTCTCCTGAACTGGAGGAAGTGACCTTTAGTGATGTGATAGCATAAGTGAATTATACACCCTGCCAACAAATATCTAAGTATCTGCTGCAGATTGTATCAAGTTAAGACAAAGAACTAGCAGTTTTAAGTGCTTCTGTTAAAAAATAAAACTCAGAAAACTAAATTGCATAGATTAAACATGTTTTTCTTGATATCTTTGAGTAGGTCTTATTTTTAAAGTGTATTTATTTGATTAGCTGTTCTGAGTCTCAAAGGGCTTAGTATGGTTGTTTAGGTTGGTAGTTTCAAAAAAATGTCACAGAGCTGTATTTTGAGACTTGGCAATAGAGAATACTCCCCAACATGAATTTCTTATCTGATACAAAACCAATGTAGATCTTTAGTCCCATTATCATCTTGGTTTTTAAAGACAAAAATAAGTATGCAGTGAAATCTGTAATACTTTAAATACTCTGCTTTTTTGTTCTGTTTTGTTTCCTATCTATTATTTCTGACAGGCAGTTTAGTTTTTTGTTGACAAGTCAGGTTGTTCGGGGTTTTTTTCTAAGTGGTCTAACCTGAAACTAGAGAGAACTTTCAAAATGAAACTTAGATATTGATTGATGAAGAAATGGAGACAGGAAATACAGAGAAATGGAAATGCAATTGCAAGGAAAACTCACTTACTAGCTAGCTAAAGAATAAAAACTATGTTTTACAATATGCATCAGCTTCTTTATATGTATCTCACTGTTTCATCTTTTGATGAGTAACAATGGTAAACAACCACCTTTATGCTGGCCAGGAGCATCATTTTGCTGACAGAGTGAGTGTTCGTCTGTGATTCCATCCAGCAAGAAAGTCCCATTGTTCGTATGAAAGACTAAATATTTGAGAGAAGTTATCCTCTGTTAAACACTTCCATGTAGTATTGCTTGGCAAAGGGATGCTAAAGTGGCCTTCTTTCCCACCATTTGCTTTTACTTTTCCTGCTTCCTAAGTCTGCTCATACAAAATTCATTAGCTCAGTCAGACTCTTGACATTCCATCTGTCTCTCTTTTGTGTAAATTGTATGCTCTGCCATGCTGGTCTGGTCTGAGCTAGTCACTGGAGTTGCTAATTGTAGTTCCTCAGTAATGCACTTATGATCCTCCTTAATTTGAAAAGGTAGTTTCCTGGGTCATAATTGTTTTCTGTGTAAAGCTACATTAATAACAAGAATTAACAAACTGGTTAAATAGTTCTTGGTACTCAGAGTAGGAATAAATTGTTAGAAATTCATGTAATCTTCTTTTTGAAAATATAATTCCTAGTTCTGTGTCAACCATGTGGTATTTATTGTCTAGTATACTGGAGAGGTGAATGGCTTAACACTTTACCTGTTGACAAGATCACCCCCCTCCAAAACTCCCCTATCACCCCACCCCATTTTACTGGTTGTTTTGTGGGCTTTTGTTTTACATCACATTCTGCAGTTACTGCACTGGCTTTATTAATTCAGTAACATCCATTCGTCTGTTTTCTTAAGGCCTGTAGAATTATAACATATGCCTTATGCATGATTTCATTTTCTTGCTTGTGATTTTGAGGAAGGAAATCTGTCCTAAACTTAGTTCTTACTCCATTTGAATGTTGTCTTATGCAGTGCAACAATTTAATGTTACTTCGGTTCTCTTTAGCTTAGAGGACTTTGGAATTTCTTCTAAGAGAAAGAGCTGTCGAAGAATGTGTGTATTTTATTCATCCCTTTCTTGCTTGTTCTCTGTGATTTATTTTTTTTTTAACTCATATCTCTACAAACATGGTATCAGTCTGTAAAACAAAGCGCTGTTAAGCAACATAGTAGTCTAAGTCCCTTCAGCAGAAGGTAAAGAGGATGACTAAAAACAAGCATCCTTCTCTGGAAGAGTGGGCAGCAATATCACCAACTTGCCCTGTCAGCCTGGGAGCTGACACATCTCAAGGTCTGTGGCCTTGCTGCCTCAGCTTTAGAAAAATAAATGTGACCCCTTTGTGGATGCTCTTACGTAGCTGGGCTTTAGCTTGATTTTTTTTTCCATTTCACCCAAATACTTCAGTTCGTTTAGTTGCAGGTTGGAAATAATTATTTTCAGAAAATTTTGCTGTACAAATATGTAACTCCATCAGCACATTTCAGTGACAGAGAAACAGGGATTTCCAAGAGCACATACTACATGAAGGTGATTTTTTTTCAGACTGCCGGGGGAAAGATGTAGGCCTTGTTTTGTGCCCTTCACAAACAGAGATAGTTGAAATGATTAAAAGTATGTGACTGAGTTCACATGTTCTTCACACATGATGGGTGACTTCACTTACTCCTGATGCTTGATAGACAAACATTATATCTTTTAAGTGCAATGTATATATTGAGTAATAGCAGCATAGAGAAGGGAAAGTCAAAACTGGCCTTATATCTTTATTCAGTATGTTTGACTCCTTTACAGAGTTGGTATCACTGAATCTGTTGCCATCTCCATTCTGCCGTTTGCTTGTTGCAATTACAGCCATTTTATCAATTAGATAGATCTCAGTGGTTCTTAACAAATATTGTTGCCTGCAACAATAGCGGGAAATAAAAGATTGATTCTTAAGAAAAAGTAAAATCTGCTTGCTGGATGGATAGAAATTCAGTGCTTATCTAAAACAAAAAAGGGCATTTTCTCAAATCAATTCAGAGTCTAAGTGAGGAGATAAGTAACAAATGCCAAGTTACAAGGAAGCAGTTATTTTGTTGAGAGCAGTTGATGATGGTAGTTTCAAAATAATGCAAATTTTTTACAGAGCATGGGAGTGTCAAAGGAGACACCTCTTCATCTTTCTTTGTCTTTAAATTCTGAGTAAAAAGTTTATATTTTTAAGTCACATTTCTTTCCTCAGAAAGACAGTAGGTAATAAATGTAACAGAAAAAAATAACCCAAACAGAAGATGTTATTGAGTGCAGTGAGGCACATGGTGAGAATGCATTTCAACAACAAATGATTTACAATGCATATATTATAGCGTGGTGTGATGTCAGGCATTAATGTGTCATAGATGCCTGGTTTTCGTTTGTGCCATGCTGTGGGAATGGCATAAGTGATATCTGACACCTTTGTGTCAATAATTCAATAATCAGAAAGCCTTCGTATTTGCAAAATGTGGCGATTTTGAGGATTTTAACCTCAAAGAACTATCCCGAGCATATTAATGTATTCTTTGAGGTCATACAGTGATTTATAGTATTTGATCTAGGATTTCCCTTCACTGTTTCTTGGCTCTGTATTTTAGACAACATTATCCTTATTTAACTGGATCGGGCCAGATTCATTTTTATGCAGAGCTTGCTTTATATTACAAAGAGAATTGATAAAACCTTGTAAAATTTTACTGGAGTGAATTGTATTCTGGAAGCACTTCTGGTGTGTATTGACCGAGTGAATCCTCTTGGTAACTGTTATTTTTAGTTATTTTCTGTGTTTTTTAAATACGTGGAGGAACAGCAAAGGAGAGGATATGCCATCTTGTTCCTCTTCTCTTTGCTTTGATTCAGTAATAAATCTCTAATTATGAATTACCTTGAATTGGCATCACTCTGTTATTCTCTTTGACAAACAAGAAGACAAACCAGCTGCGATCTGAAGAAATAATCTTTTTAAACTGAAGTACTGTCTTTTCCAGTATTGTAGTTGCTGCTGAGAATTACTGATGAGCTTACATTACTAAACACCAGTGAACATAACAGAAGTCATCAAGTGCTTTATAACTGTAGAAATGGTTTTTTTACCTGATAAGCATGTTGAAGCCGTATGGCAGCTTGAGTAACTCAAATTTAAAAGTCTTGGGAAAGAATAGCTTAGCACGTACATACTGAGTTTTGGACCTCTGCCTGTGGGACTGGCCAGTCATTCCTGTCACCAACCAGTAGTACTGTTCCCTTGAGCTTTTCATGTCTATGGCTCCAGCTTCTGGTGCTACTGATGCTTTTGAGTGTCTGACAGATTTCTTGGGTTTAGGGCTGTTCTTCAAACTGGAGCACAGAAACTGGAGTTGTGCGGTTCCAGGCTGAAGAACAGACTGGAACTTTCTCTCTTGAAGGCTTCTCTGCTCTGAGTTCGGTTTGTAGTGGGTTTGGCCAGTGAGGGGTAATTGTTGGGCAGTGAGCTGCTGACTCCTTCCCTCCTGCTTGCTTATTTTTCGAAGTTGTTTTCTGTTATCAGCGCACGCACCCCCATGTTCCGAACAGAAGTAAAAGCATTTTGAAAGGTGTGTTCTGAGAAGGGCCTTTGTGTTACTTTCAGGTTTTCAAGGCCTTAACTTGAAAAGTGCATGAAGACATTTCTTCCTCCTTCCCTTTCTTTAGGGCACATATTGCTGTTGCAGGTGATTGTTAATTTTGGGGGGTTTTTTGTTGGTTTTCCTGTTTATGTGTGACTAGATAATATGATTAATTTCCAACCTTGCTGTATGACTATTTTATTTATACTTTTTTGTAGCATAATTTCCGTTTCTTTTAACAGAACAATTTGAGTCTTTGTGGAAGGTTCCTGGAAAGATTTCTAAACTGCAGGGTAAAAACAAGCAAGAACAGATACTGAGGATTTCTTGGCTAAATCCATAGGATAGCTGAAAGTTTTAATGAGAAATTTTTGTGCTACGCCTCCAGTAATCATGGTTGCTGATGGTGCAAAATTTCTACTTAAGAAATTGCCATTAGAGTCTTTGACTCAGTGGCTGAAACCTCATCAAATTTGTTGTCTCATTGCTTGGTATGGTGCTACATTAGGAAACAACAACTGCTTCCACTGTTCTGAAAGTGTTAATTGACTCCATAAATATACATTGAATTCAGTTAAGTATAATTGGCAACATTATTGAGTTTTATGTGGACTTTTTTCAGTGAGAAATTTCAGTGTTTGGTATTTTAATTTTTTATTTAGCTTTTGCTGTATTAGCTGTATTGTTTGATTCACAGAATTACAGAGTTGTTACAGTTGGAAGGGACCTTTGGAGATCATCCAGGCCAACTCAAAAGTGCTAAAAAGCTCACTGATGAAGTGTATCTGTAACAGTTATGCTACACAAAAATTGGTAATGAAGAATCTTAAGCAGACCACGATTGTGAGAATTAAAAGAACACTTAAGACTGAAGGAACATTACTAATAGTCTCTCCATGTAGAAGTTTGTTAATGGCAAATAAAATCCTCTTCAGCAGAACTATGGAGATTTTGTTTGCTCCTAGTTTATTAGCATAGGGGGCAGCAGGTTGGTTTGAGACTAAGCAGGGAAGCAGAGTTGGGAACATTACTTGAACTGCTTCTTCCCAGTCCCTGAACAGAAACAAATTTTTCATAAGGGTAGAATATTTTCTTTTGCCAAGTGATATTTGCATCTAATGGCAGAAGATTGAGTGAAGTGTTTCCTTGTTTGTTGCTGCTTTGCTACTTGGCCTGTGACCTCCTAAGGCTCAGAATGGCAGCAAGTAGCAGTTTAAAAATTGTTAATAGCTAGTTTTAAGTCAGTTTCATTTGTGAAGCATTACTGCACTTTTGAATGTGGTTTATGGTCGTGTAAAAAGAATTTCAGAATTGTTTCTGCTTGACACTTGGATAATAAATTTGCTTTCTTCTTTGAGTTTCATTGCCTTTGAACATGACATAGCTATGCTGAATTTTTTTGTGAACTGTACTGACTAGAGAGCCACTAGATTCTGTTTAGAGCAGAGGTGAGGTTGACAATGAAGAAAGCATGGATTTGGAAAAAAATGTGACCTTTCTGTTTTGTGAAGTAACTGTGTCACTGATATGGTTTAGATGATACTGAAAACGAAGAAATGAAAAGGCGGCTTTCCTGTTTTCTTGAGTATACTGGTGTATATTTGCTGTGATAGTGACCACATCTTTCCATGTTAGAGGTGGTAGTGGCTTGTGTGACATCCTGCTGAGCATAAGTCAAGGCTGAATAGAGAAGTACTGGTCTGGCTGATACAAAATCCCGTTTTTGCAATCCCCTCTCAGCTCCCTGTGTTGCATAAAGGCTCTATTTTCTGACCAAGCTCTTTTTATTTTTTAGGAGGATAGCCTTGTGTTTAAAATGGAAGTTGACATAAATGGAGAGTCCAGAACTGCCCTGTCCACTCTCCCTGTGCCTCTTGCAGAGGTGGGCTCTGCAGGCAGGACGGAAGCTGAAAAGCCCCGCTGTTCCAGTACCCCCTGCTCGCCCATGCGGCGGACAGTTGCAGGATACCAGATTCTCCACATGAATTCTAACTACCTGGTGGGCTTCACAACTGGAGAGGAGCTGCTGAAATTAGCCCAGAAATGTACAGGAGCTGAAGAGAACAAAGGAGAATCTGGGCCAAACTTGCACTCCAAGCAGCTGGATCCAGGACTTGCACGCTCCTCCCGTTTGTACAAAACGAGAAGTAGGTACTACCAGCCATATGAGATCCCAGCAGTAAATGGGAGGAGGAGGAGGCGGATGCCCAGCTCAGGGGATAAATGCAATAAAGCTTTACCATATGAACCTTACAAGGCACTTCATGGTCCCCTGCCTCTCTGCCTTTTGAAAGGTAAAAGGGTTCATTCAAAATCCCTGGACTACCTCAATTTAGACAAAATGAGCACTAAGGAACCTGCTGACACAGAAGTGCTACAGTACCAGCTCCAACACCTCACCCTTAGAGGGGACCGTATGTTTGCAAGGAATAGCACATGAGCTGTCATCTTGAACTTAGAAATGATTTCTCATCCTTTCTCTGTTGCTGCAAAAGTCCACTGTTGTACTGTGTACATGACTGTCCACATTGTAGGTGGTTGTATCAGCTAAATATTACCAGAAAGTAATTTATTTGAATAGAGTCTTGGCAATGCAATGTGTTACAAATACTTGGAGGGAGAAATCTTTCCTGAGCAAGAAGCTTCTGATGCAAATTTGACTGCAATCAGTGGATATTTCTTTGGACACGTTTGAAAAAAAAAGAAAGCTTTTGATTTTTGGTTTGTTTTTTTTTTTTTTTTGTACAGCTAGATCTACTATTTACAGTAATTTAACACTGAAAAATTGGTGATGTCTGCTTGGTTGTTGCTAATTTTGGCTTGACCTTAGAAACTGTTCTTGGATAAGTATTCAAGTTTAGGAGGTTCTTTGGTTTTACTTTTTGTTTCTGTATTCTATAGGAAAATGAATGGGTTTTGACAGCATGGAAAGTGACTAAATAAATCACTTTCTATTTAAACAAGCTAGTTCAAACATTTTTAGACTGTGCTTGTGCTGGTGATGAGGGTGAGATTTGCTCATAAAGCAAACCTTTGCTACTTGAATCCTCTTCAGTTATTTTTTTTTTAATCTCTGCATGGAAGCAATTGCTTTACCTTTCCTATAAAACATGTTCAGAATGAGTATTTGGGTTCTTTAAAGCAAATCTTTTGAGGAGTGAAGATTTTTTTGTTATTGTTGATTTTATTTTTTACATTGTCTTGAGAGACAAACTGGAATGTTTGCACTGGTATGTCAGTAATGTTTTTGGTTTTAATTTATGATTTCTCTACCATGTATAGTAGCAGAAGGTGTCAAATAACTTCAGCATAGATTTGGAAATTCTGTTGACTTGAAGCACTGAACACTTGAGATCTGGAGGGCTCATTTTATTTGACAGGGGGCAAGTGAAGTATTTCTGCATCAACATTGAAGAGATAATCCTGGATTATTCAACAGAGTAGATTGAATACACCAGCTTACTTTTGTTACTTAATGAATTTTTATCCAAACATGACATCAAACACAGGTTTTGACAACTGTATTCCTAGATGTATTTGAAACATTTTAATAACTTATGTTTAAAAACGAAAACTAGTTTTTTTTTAGATGCAGTCTGTTAGTGAAGGAGTGTGCAACTTGATTTTGGCTGATGACCACTGCAGAAGTTAAAAGTAATGTCATGCTGGTTTTAAATGTAAATTATTTGATCAGTTGTTTCTGATAGAAGTAAGATTTGTTTTGTTTGTTTACTTATCACTCAGAATGAATGGAAAGCACTAGTTAGTGCATGTGCTATGGAAAATGAAAAGTTCTAATTCTGTCACTTACTCCACAGTTTTAAATGAAGGCAGCCCAGTAGTGAGCATTTTGTGGTTGGGTTATCTTTTGTTTAGGTTTGTTAGAAACATTACAAAAAAAGTGTATTTTTGAAAGTTAACTACACCTGTGTAAATTTAATGTATCGGACAATGACCTTGAAAGTAAAGTCTTCCTATATAGTCTTTAGTTTGAAAAACAGAGTATGGTCAGATGCCAAAGAGATGGGGGTTTTGTTTAAGGAATAAAGACCATTGTTTATTGAAATACCCAAGGAAAATGTATTTCTGGCTGAAAAATAAAAAAGGTGGTATAAACAGCTATTGTTGTGGAGTTTTTTGCTATGCAGGAGAAAGTGGTCGTTTAAAAAAATACAGACCAAGGAATATTTAAAAACCTGAAAGGAAGGATCCTGAACTTCTGTGAAATAGATGCTTAGGTTTGTTACTTTGTTTCAGGAAACGTGCCTCGCATTTACTAGTGTTTTGTGCTTGTTTCTGATGTCCAGTGCTGTAGTTGTATGGCTACGCTGAGGGAGAGGTTGATGGCTTTCTAGCTGAGTTCAAACGTAAAAAATGTGTTTGTATTTTATCTGTTTTGGTGATTTGCTAATGAATGTGCTCAGACATGGTTATGTTTGCTTAACTCATACGCACTTGCAGCTCTCATAATGTGGGAAATACTACCGATACGACCTATAATAGAGACTAAGTAGAGAATTGTTAGTGGATAACTTAATTGTTTTTTCTAACATTCAGTGGTACCAAAGAATCAGAAGCAATTATCCAACGTAATCAATTTTTAAATGTTTTATAGCGTGGTTTGGGTGAAGTCAGTTAACTTCTCCTTAAGGTGTGCTAAAGCAAAAGTAGAAGAAAATAATCTTCAGTGAGAATATAGGCAGTAAAAACTAGAAAAAATGCTTTGAAAATGTATAGTGGAGCTATATAACAGCTACATAACAGCTTGGAAATACAAGTTGTTATAAACTGCTGTAAGAAAAATGCAGATCCAAAACTGAAAAATGTAGATTTATTACAATGCTAATAACTTTAAAGACAATGTCAAGCTTGGCAACCAGCAGTAAAAGAGCGCATTTCTTTGCTTGTTGTCTGAGCATTTGGCAAGTACAGTTTTATTGATGTTTCTTTCCGGGGACTGACTTTTTGCATGATAGTTTTCTGTGATTTGATCTGTTAACTAATCTGTTAGTTTCCATGATGTGTGATTACACTGAACACTGTAAGAGTGGCACAAAAGTGTCTGTTAGACAGACCCTCAGAAGAACACAATAATTTTTGGATTATTGATTTTTTTCTTCCCCTCTCTCCCCCCCGTGTCATAGTACATTTTTTTTAGCCAGAGGTTAATGTGAACTTTCCAAGTCCTTGAAAACCTTAAGACAGATTACATGGAGGGGGACTTCCGTAGATATTTTGCCAGTGAAATTCTTTATTACATCACCAAGACACTCAGGGAAGGTCAAACTATCTTCAGGTCTACAGAATATGGAAAACTTCCCTTCTTGGAACGAACAAGGGGGATCTGTAGTGGTCTGCAGTACTTCTGATCTTGTAAAAGCTGGGTATCATTGTCAAATATATGATTTTGAAACACAGAACTTACATGAGCTGTAAGGTGCTTCTTAGATGTTTTCTTCTGGCTCTTAAGCACATGTGCAACTTGAAAGAGTGTAGGTTGTTACAAGATGCTGGTAACTGACCTACAAAGCATCACAGGCTTGTTAAAAAAAAGGGAAATCAACAAGATAAGAGTCTCTCTCACATCTCAGGAATCATTATTGAGCAGTTTTTCTACCTTTTTTCCTTGTATCACATCATGATGAACATCAACCAACAACCATTTCAGCACAAGAATCATTCATAGTGTTGCTGCTCCTGGTTGCTGCATTTGGCTGCTCCTGGATGGCAACAGTTCAAATTCAGTGCTGCTGCTCCTGTGGTGTAAGTGCCAAAGCTAATCCTGTGCATTTTTGTGGGATGGCTCAAGGGAGGGAGCATTACCCTACTGCTTGAATACCCAGTCCGTCTTACATCCTCCTTAACTTACTCTTAGCTTTAGTGGTTTGTTGGTAGAGGATGATATTGGGTCAAACCTACAGAGGAACTATCTAGACCACATTAGAAGAGCTGAGGAAAGAAGGCTTGTTTTTCTGTGGGGAAAAACCCAGAATCAGTTGGATTGCACTGAAAGCAAAAGAGAAAGTGAGGCTATTAACTGACCGCATTCCATCCATTTTTAGGAGACAAGTTCTCTCACCCTGCATATTCTTGATCTTGCCTATCAAAGAATTGGTCTGCAGTAAGAAGAGGGAGAGGACAAGGAAGGAGAACTTTGCACTGTGCTTTTTTTTCTGTGAAGCATGGAAGGGCAGAAGGAATTTATAAAATATCAGGGGAAAGTCTGGAGAAATAAATGGAAAACCTCAGAGGGACAGTGCTGCAAGAGTAGGAATAGTGAAATAGTGTGTGACTTCAGTGTCAAAACAGGCAAAGACATGGAGGAAAATGATTGCTGGTCTCAGATCTCTCTGGAAAGCAACTGACTGGTTTTGTGCCTGATTAAGTAGGGTGATAGGAGGTTTTAACAAAATGCAGAGATACCAGCTGGGCTGCAGTGAAGATAGGAAGCCAGAGCTTGAGGCTGTGTGTGTACTAACAAGCTTAAATGAAATTTAGGTGAGAGTTCTGAAGGAATAAAATAATTTTATTCCATTTGAGTATGGTCTAAATCCAAATCCTGTGATTTTTCTATGATATTGAGCAGCTCTACGCAGTGACTAGAGGTAGATGTGCAATGTCATAGTCTGAAAAGCTTCCTGAAAAGGAGGAAAACTTTTGTCTGGTAAGTTCCTTTATTATTAATTTCAGTTTAAAAAGAAGAAAAACTTTCAAGCTTCTCTATGTATTCTGGTATAAATACCAACTATGATGTCTGGTAGGATTATTGTTCCATTTCATTTTGTGAGACTCTCACCTGCTGGAGCTCCTGGTGACCTGTTCTTTCTGTGGTGGTGAAGGAGATGCAAGTGCTAAAATATGCAGGAACTTTGAGAACAGTATTGACAGCTTGAACTCTATGAAAAAATGGAGCAAGCCATGATTTGCTGCAGTGCTTTACTTTAAACTATTTTTCAGAAACTCAAAAAGCGTTCAAAAAAAGTGTTAGGTACTGGGATGCCTTTCGAAATCTATTTCAGGCCAGAAATGTTGCAGCCTGTGGTGGGGAAAAAAAAGTGGTTTTCCCCTGGAGTTAAAAAAATGGTAACCCCCGAGGGGGTGGTGTCAGAAGATGTTGACCCAATCAGCGCCCCTGCAAAATTTAAACATATCGCAGCAGACCGGAAAAAGAAGGATGATGATGATGTAGTTGGAGAAGAAGTGGCCATGTTCTGAGACCACAAGGGGAGAAGGGGCAGGAGCCCTGCTGGGGTCTAGAAACTTGGAAACAGTGTTAAACTGGACTGGGTTCTGTGACTGAAGAGCTGGGGGAGTCTTTCTCCACTGTGAGTGGGCAGCAGGAGCGGCAGCAGAGGCAGCACTGAGTGGAAGGCTATGACTGAAAGCCAAGAAGATAAAAACCAAGCAGCAAAGACGGCATGCAGCAATGCAGAGAGATATCCTGCAAGGAGAGAGAGAGCCGGTAACAGAGCAGAGAAAGCTCAACAGAGACAGTTTTGGAGTAAGAACTGAATCAGAACTCCCTCAAAACCCCTTTGAGACCTCTCCTGGGAGGAGGGGGTGGACTCCTACTTGAGGGGAGTCTCGGAATACAGCAGCGCTGGAGAGAGGAGCTGAAAAGCTCGAGACGTCCTGGAAGCTGGACTGGGACGGCCGGATGGAATGCGGGGGAAGTGGCCTTGTTCCACCCCTC